GATCATCGATAAAGATATTGAACAAGACCGGCCCCAGTACTGAGCCCTGGGGAACACCGCTCGTGACCGGCCGCCAACTGGATGTAACTCCATTCACCACAACTCTCTGGGCCCGGCCGTCCAGCCAGTTTTTGACCCAGCGCAGAGTACACCTGTCTAAGCCGTGAGCCACCAGCTTCTCCAGGAGAATGCTGTGGGAGATGGTGTCAAAGGCCTTACTGAAGTCCAGGTAGACCACATCCACAGCCTTTCCCTCATCCACTAGGCGGGTCACCTGGTCATAGAAGGAGATCAGGTTGGTCAAGCAGGACCTGCCTCTCATGAATCCGTGCTGGCTGGGCCTGATCCCCTGGTTGTCCCGCTCATGCCTTGTGAGCGCCCTCAAGATGAACCGCTCCATAATCTTCCCCGGCACCGAGGTCAGTGCTGAGGTCAATTATTCAACTAAATAATTAGTTGAAAGCTTGTAAGCACAGACAGATCTTTTATGAACACATAGGAATCTTGACGAGGTCTCTTCACTTTTAATGTTGGTGTGCTAGTTAAAAATTGATTCTAGGATGTAAAATTAAAAAACCCCACCTCACTGCAGAAGCATTTTAAGCACAAATTCATAATAAATTTCACTCACAGTTACATAGATTTCACCTGTTGATTTTTTACTATGAACTTTACAAAAACTTTCTACTTTTATTTGTCTCAAACACATTAATTTCCTTCAGATGGCAGAAACAAGCTTCTGAAGTACATCAGCATATTTTCTTAGCTGTTTGTCTATTTGGCGTCTTATCAACAGGATCAACTACATCTAGTGTTAAAGTCTTGCTTACATTATGAGTAATTGACTGTTCCATTTGGTGTATCTTAACTACCCCTGATTTCCCTCGGGCTTTGTATGCTTGTTGTGTGTTGTGTTCTATCAGCTGGGGACAGCCAGTGTGTCTATTTTTAGCAGTGGCATGTTAAACAGCATACACAAGGAAAGACGCAATAGCTATTGAGCAAGGATACAACGTGAGTGAATAAACATCTCCCACTGACTTGTCCTTTCTGGAAAAGTTACTTGTTATTTCCATTTTCTCAATGTTTACAGAAGAAAGGTACAGCTTTGCTAATTAAAGGCTTGCGAAGCTTAGATTTGAGTTTTTAATCTACAGCCCCAGAGATTGCATTTAGCCTGCCAGAACAATTAATTCAACATGTTTCTCAGGAAGCCTCAGGTTCTTCCTATCACACTTACACATCTTAAACTACACCACTCAATCTGTTTTCGAGTTTTACGCTGATATTTCTATCAACATTATCATTATTACCTGCAAGGCTAAGCTGTAATTATTAAAATGTCCAATGCTGAACAAGCCTAGTAGCCAGTATATACACATTCCACCTTAACAGCCCCTTACCTCATCATCCACTGTGTTAATTAGTACAAGGTCACAAACCCTTCTTCTGGATCAAAAGCGAACTACTAACTATAGAATCCAACTTGACTGATCTCCTAATTCCAAGTGGCAAAATTTCTCATTAACTGGGCATCATAAGGACCAAGTTTCTTTCTGTTTGTATTTGTGTTTGCTATGATTTTAATATAGTTAAGTAGTAAAACTTTAGGCAATTGCCATCAGAGTCATGTAATTTTCTTTTACAGGCAGATGGATGGCACAAATGATGAGGGCCATCAGAAAAGACTTAGCACCTCTGAAGTTACAATTAATATACAAACTATGATATATTGGTGCTTTAATATGGCATGCCAAAAGCCATTTTCTTGGCAACTCCTCTAAGAAACAGTATTTGAAGAGTGGGAGCAATACTTAAGAGTTCTACTTGATAGATGTATCGTGTGGTTCATGTTTTAGAGGTTTATGAATTACATCGGTCTTGGGGGGAAAAAAAAAAGGAAAAAAGAAAAAGAAACCACAACCCCACAGTCTGAAGATAACTGAAAGGAATATGTTATACTGTGACCTTCTATTAAGTATGTTGTATGCATGTTGTAACCTTCATCTCATCCAACATCACAGATTCAAAGACAGGAAAACATAGGAAGAAATAAATCTGCCCCAAAGCTTGCAGCTAATTAATGTAATTTTAAAAATCTATTACTTTATATCTTATATATAAATAGTGTCATAACACAAAACTATTTAAAAAACTGAATTGTGCAACATTTTCAAATGAATGTGCTAATTTCAAAATACTTCTTATTACTTACTGTATCTGGCACAGTAACTCACTCGCAAATTAATGCACTTTCAGAAATGGGAAACTTTGCTATCCCACCGTGATAGAAAAGTAGTTCCTGTAAACCTTTTGGTCTCAAACTTAGCATGAAGACCTTCTCTCCTGAGGTCTAGCATTTTAAATTTTGAGTGAATTTGCAGTTTTGTTTTCTCTTTGAATAGCATTTTTGAGGATTATTTAACTGTAAATATTAACCTAAATTTATATACTGTTTTCCTAGTTGCAAGTTCTGTCTTTGCATTTACATGAATCAAAAGTAACTGAAGAGATGTTGGCTCAATTTTCCATCAACATATCAAGGAATATGGCTAAGGCAGATATGCAAAAAAAAGGAACACAAGTAGGACAGGATTAGTTAAAAATAATAACAAAAATGCATGAGAAGCCTTTATACACAGTTTAAAATTTTGGTGAAAGTTTGCATTCAATATTATCCTGCAGAAGCTGTAAACCTGCAACAGTAGGAAGTACTGAATGGATAGCATCAATTAATCAAATCCATAGACCTACTTCAGTTTCACTCCCTTGTATTTATTCACGTACACCAGTAATTTTCCCTTTTGTTCCATCGCTCATCAATACCAAAACCATTTTTATAATGACAGCCATTGTTCTCTTCATTTCACATTTGTGATCAGGGCTAAACATACTGCTTACACTTAAACTTAATGGTAGAGTTCTGGTTAGCATTAAATCTCCTCATTTCAAGTCCCCAGTTACACAATATTCCTTCCACTTACAGACTCTTGCTGTTACCTTAGGAGTCTCTCCATTGGCTTAGTAAATGCTGTTTTCCAACAGCATCAAAAAATCACAGCAAATAACTTCCTTTTTTTCAGTTCATGTTTGAAATGTTATCTGCAACACAGTTAAAGAAGTTTATATAAACAGTGGTGATCTTGTATTTTATGCATAGAATACTTCTCCTGGTATGTTGATATAAGACATCTTGCTGCAACAAGAGCAAGGTATTTGATTCAAGGTGGTGGGGGGGGGCGGAAATCAGCCCAGGAGACGCTGCATTCTTGTAGACCAGTAGATAAGACAGTTACCATCTACTGAGACTGAAAAAAAGTGGAATTGCTTCTGTTAATGCAAGTTTGTCATTCATTGTCAATTTATAATGCAAGTTATCTGAAATAGTAAGAGATGTAAACAGAAAGCAAGCCTCAAATCTTCAAGACCTACACCAGAATACCAGTAATGCTCTGAGACAGACTGCAAATTAAACCTCAGCCTTTCCAGTAGTTTCATCGCAACATTACAAAGGCTTATCAGCAGCTTAGATAGTTGCAGCATAGCTAGCAGAGTGAACTGAGGCTGCTTGAAGTCAATTTTTCTTCTGCAGCAGGAACTGCAGGAGGAAGACAGAGATGAATGCTTGTCACATCTATACCTCACATTATGCTTAAGAAATACAATTCTGTGTTTGCATCGTTTTGATCACTGCTGTTTTCCAAAGCCTGAAAATAGCCATTATTTTTGGCCACAGCTCTTCCCAGAGAAGACAGTATAGAACACAGAACCAGTACAGCCTGCCAGCACTATCGGACAACAACAGAACAGTTACATGCTAAGACAGGAAGAGAAACTAGGAACAGGTTGCATTATGGAGTACTATGGCTAAAAAAATAATTCTAATAGCATATAGTTTTGAAGTAAGTTATTTTGTACATATAACACACATTAAACAAATACATATTGACAAAGGTTGCAGGTAAGATGATTTTTTTTTCCCCAAACTGTTTATACAGCACTGAATGTTCTGGTGACTTTGTTTTGCGACCTAAAATGTGATAAAGCCTATATGCATATAGGTGTTTGCATATTGTAAACTAGAACAGGCTGCCCAGTGTTCTTTTCAAATGTTCAAAGAAAGAATTGTTACAACTTTTTTTCCCCCAGAGATATAACAATCTTTAGTTAAAAAAAAAACAAACAACTCTCAGTTGATGTTTTATCATGCTGTCATTACCTTGTCTTCTATTAACCCACCACTATCAATTTATTGATATTATGTTGACTTTAGACTGCAAGGTTTTTAGATTAGGAGACAATATAACAGATTCAGTGGTTGTGAAGACCTATGTATTTTGGGAATCTGTGAAAGGGCATTCAAATCACTGAGCACTAAAATACAAACCACACAAATAACGATATTTGGTCTGTTATTTTTTTCAAATGTTGTAAATATACAGAGTGTAACAAAAAGTTCCGTTTAAGTGGTACATCCAAAAGCAGCAGGTCACTAATATGCTCCTGGAAAAGATGCAACGTTTGTCCATTCTAGATAGGATTGCGATCAAATAACTGTGAATCCGTTACTTTCATCCTGTGTAGAAGGGCTCTTGTTACTTGCTAAATTTATTTTCCTGTTTGGACAAGAAATCATCTAGCTAACAGTATTTCCGATTTTATTTAAATCATTTCTTAACAAAGTAATCTTCCAGAAGCAAAGGTGATCTTCCAAAAGACAGCAGCTTTAGATTTATAAGTTTATGTTCCTTATACTTTCCAAGACTTCATCATGGAACCAGGTTTCAGTAAACATATTAGAGTTTTGCAAAGCCTCAAAAAGACGCCTATAGTCTTCTGGGTATAACTTACGTGCTTCAGCATTTTTTGGAATTTCTAGCTCTCTCAGTAATTTGCCACCACTGTCCAAGCTCCATGAACTGAAACAAACAAACAAAAATTGTAATAGAGCATTTCTTTCTGTGAAAAATTAAAGAGCAAGAAACAGTATCTGAAGGTCCGTTTCACTCTTTCGCAGCTTCTAGAAGTTGTTAAAGACTTCCTACAACACAACTTATTTTCAATCCATACTGCAAACAGGAAGAAACCTCTGCTAATAAGACAAACAAGTATGAAATAAAGCCCCCAGCAGACATAGACAATACCAAACCACCTAAGCCTCCTCATTAGAGGGTGGGTGCCCTCCCTCCCTCCTCTGTCCCAACTGCATAAGTCAGTAACAAACATTACAGCATAAAAAGGGGTTATTCTTCAATGCCTGGGAAATTAAAGCCAAGGTCATCTTCAAGAATATGATTCAGTATAGCATGAGTTAATGTAACTTACACCTCCCAGGTATTTTCTTCTATATATAAACAGATGTATCCACTGTCTCCCATCTACATCACTGCTATGAAAACTAGACCTTTTATAAATGTGCATATAACTATTTCCCAGACAAAAAAAGGGTGTATAAATACACAGAAGATGCACATTAGAAGCCTTCAAAGTTAGCGCCACTTCCTGGCTGAAGGATTGAGTGGAGATTAGGTACACCACTGAGCTTTAAGAAAGAAATCCATTAAGGCTCTTCGCACTTGTCTTGGCTAAATGAGTTACTGGAATTTATTAGTTTTTTGGGGTTTTTTTTTCCCTTTCTGGAAATTAACTTCCATAAACCACTACCAACAAATGAGAAATATATTAATTATTTTCATTAACAAGATGAAGTCAATGCTTTTCAGACTGCAAACACTTCCCATTTATGGGAAACAGAAATCTACTGATCATTAAGCAAAGTGAATAGCTCCAATGTAATATCAAAAATAATAATTAGAGTTGCATAATTGGTAAATAAGTCTAAAGCCTAATTTTTTAATTAGATAACAGAAAGCCATTTGAGGACATTCCCACTCCACCTTCAATAACCTTCAGCTGTTTTCATTAGCATTACTTTGATGTCTGTTATAAACCAAAACTCTTTTTCAGCTTTTAATTTCTATACCTGCAAAACTCTTGGTGACTTTATTATTATGTCTGTAAGGTGAGTGAAAACTTCTTGCCAATACATGACCTCACCTCCATCGGAGGTACAGACAATTACTGCATATCTACATTCTAAATACTTGTCGACCTTCCTGTCAAACCTCAAGTTTTTATCATCTGTGAATACAGTCCAGGAACAGTCCCCGAAATACTGTATTGTGGGTTGCAAAAATGAAATCTTCTAGTCTACATGTAGATAATGAATTAAAAAAAAGCGCTGTATCTCAGCTGCAAATAAATACTGCTTTGAGAACATGTTTTAATATTTTCCTATATTTCTCTGAAGAAAAAGTATAAAAACTGTAATTCTTTCTTACTTTAATCTATCAGTAAGTCTAGACTTGGGTTTAGCAAGACACTGTTTCACCATGAAAATAAAGGTAGCTGAATTTGTGGGCTTCAAGCCTCCTGTAAACAGATTTTGCTGAGGAGTCAGTCGTACCAAACATAAATGGTCATTTGGCAGCCACTGCAAGAAAAACAAAACAAGCCACTGAAAAGTCATTTCAAGACAGTGTCTGTCTTTAGCTAAGAGTAAGCATTTCACCTGCGCCACCAGTAACATTTCTTAGAGTTTTAGAAGTCTTAACAAAACGATTCCATTGGAAACTGTGGCTTTAAAATTTTGTTCTAGAGCGAAGGTGCTTTACCTCCCCCCGCCCCCCAAATAAGAAAGAAAATAGGAAACAAAACAGACAATACTATCACTTCGGTTTTATTTTTATTTTTTAAGACCGGACTTTCTTAGTTGAAATAGACAATACAGGCTTGATGCAAGTTTTCAAGAGATTATATGGCCTATAATATTCCTGTAGTATGCAAGGTATCAGATCTACCTGCCTTTTGTATATAAAGACGGAATTATTTGAGTGTAACACTAAGACAATATTGCAACTTGAAGATTTTATGAAATTGGGAGGGGATGGAGTCTTTAACTGAAATAAATGTACTTCTGTATTGGCAGCAATGGATATATCATCCAATAGATCTCACATTTGTCCTTCTCCTGAGGCTGTCACAATACATCTTACATAATCCACCTGACATGCCTCTCTACATGGCTTTACAGCAACACACTTAAGTGTGTAAGGCACACCCAGTCACTTATATTCACTTATATTGTACAGTAACATTTCAGACAACACTCAATATACTATTGTGGCAGTTTTCTGGGGAGAGTAAAACCGAATATTAAGTATACATGCTTTTATATTATTGGAATTAAATAGAAATATTCTTATATTATTACAAAGGAACATCATTACTTCTCTAAAAGAGAAAAGTAAAGAACTTTACACAGGGTATTTTTCCACTTCTCAAATTTAAGCTTTGAGACTCGCACCTTTCAGCAATTAACTAGCACACGGAATTTACACTGGACATGTGAATAACCATTTTAATCAAAACCAGCAGCATGCTGATTGTGCTATTAGTTGTGGTAACACTTGTTTTGTTCAAGCACGTAGGTGTGGCCCTGTCAGTAACTTATTTTGAAAAAGACTTTACCTGTTCACATCCCTTTATGCTGTTTATTCACTATATTTTTTCCATCATAGACAATAAAGATACTAGTTTATTTCAGTTTCTAAGCTAGTAGCAATTCTTCACCCCTCTTCTGATGCATCTACATGCTGCCCATAAGTTTTAATTAGAAGAACACTTAAAAAATACACTATTCACAGCCAAAAAAACATACGTGTAAATGCTGTTATAAAGTTATTTTAACCTTTAATAAAAAGTGGTTTAGCTGTATCTCCAGAAGGAGAAAAGTGCACACAACAATCTTACCGTGCTTTTTGGTACCGCCAGTCCCCCATTTTTCAAATTAGTTACAAATGATGACCAAGGTTCCTATGGGAAGGAGAAAATATATTACAGAATTAAAGTGCTTTGTTAGAATTTGGAAAAACATTTACCATCAATCCTGTCAAATTAGAAGTTTACCCCGATTCTAAAATTTACTGTAAAATCATAAAATATATTAGAACTAAGGGGGGGGGGAAGTCAAGTAATAAGCACACAAAGGCCAGACTTGAAAATGTTATTTAATCACATTCCTGACAAAGTATCTGATTAGCACTGGTAAATTACTTATAATCAAATAACTTGTACATATTACCATACATTAGTGGGGCTACCTACTGGTTTCAAGTTCAAAATTTGAACCAAAGCTAAAAACTGACAGCTGACCGTAACAGCTGCTGTACTGAGTCCAAACAAAAGTCCCAGCAGCTCAATAACTTGTCTCCTGAAGTAGCTACAAGCAGATGTATAGCAAACACTGTATGACCAGGGCATGCATATGTAATAAGTTCCTTGAGCATCATCTTATTCTTCAACTCCTTAATATTTACTTTAATATACACCTCGTGGTGTAAGGTATTTGGAATACAATAGATAGTTAAACTTTTAATTTCAGATTAGCAAAACATTCAAACTATGAAGGTAGGTTCCTAGAAAAACAGAGTACAAACAAAGATAAATCTAAACAGGATAAAGTAAGTGAAAGTCGATGGCCATGTGCTCATGTGGAGGTAGGGGGACAACATAAAAAACTTTTTAAAACTAAACCATAGCATGCTTGACAAGCTAAGACAGTTACTGATTAGCAGGAGGAGCAGGCCTGCTTAGAACATAAAGGCACCAAGACTGAAAACCATATTTCTACTGAACACAGCTCAGAAAGTCGAAAGCATACATGATGGCAAAATGCAGAGGACATAACAGAGAGCACACTATGACAGATTGGAAGAGCAGTCTTCTAGTCTCACACAACCCCTAGCAAGATGGAAGAGACTTACTTGTTGCGCAAACATCTCCTTCTTACCTACCAGCTTCTGAGAATAAATGTTTTTGAGTGCAGTGGCTTGTAATGAAAATACTGACATCATAGTTAATAATGATGCTGCTTAAGTGACAGAGTTTGACACAAACATGACTGTTTCAGGTTTTTACATCCAAAAGTTTCCAATAGTTCTCCAACTAATTTAAATGTCAAATTAGCTTCCAATTAGTTTACGATAGTAAAACACTATAAACCCTTTTCTAAAAACATGTCCATAGCATTAGACCGTGTCAGCTGGTACAAAAGACTTACCGTGTGCAGTAGCTGAATTTCACATCCTACTTGCCAAAGTACACTAAGTGCTTGGTAAGCCCTCGCTTCCCCAGGCTTTGCTGTTAATACCTAATAAAATGGCAAAGAGCGAGCAATTTTGTTGCAAAAACTAAGATTGCTTCTTTATCTAAGCAAATCCTTATATATATAACAAGTGGTAAGAAATTCATAGTTAAGTCTAAAATTCCAAGGTAAAGTTACATTAGGCCTCAAATACACACTTTGTGCTATTTCAGTGTATCTTGTCAGAACACATGATTAGAAGACGTTATGGCAGTCTTAGTAATTCTTCGCAGCAGTTATTTGGATAACTGAACTGTGTAGGAATTTCCAGCTTTTACTTTCTGGTCCCTTTTAAGGCAGAGAAATTTCACACAGAAGAGAAACAGGGATCATATTTTGTATAAAAACCATAACATGGGCAGAGTTATCAGCTCACACTGATAAGATAATATTCCCAATAAGGCACACAAGCAGAGTAAGCCAAACATCAGGTGACCTCACTGAACATTAAGCAGCTTGCGCAGTCATCATCCTGATCAATATTACAGATCAGACAACTCTTAGGCAAGAAAAAAAGAAAAACTTGTCATTATTCTCAAACAGGGCAAAGAAAGAAGTAAATTGTAGCAGGAAGATTTAACTTCCCATAACAGATTTAGAGCGCCTCGTCATATAATCAACCAAAAACCAAAAAGATTATTCTAATTGCTTTTACTTAGGTACACAACTCTCATTTAACATGGTTCACAACAAAACCAGAAAACTTAATAAAAAACACAGTGACTGCATTAAATGAACAGACTGCCCCCTATTTGCTCAAAACTCTGGCCATAAAACATACCATTTAAGTGGGTATTTCAGTGGTGTCCAACCTGTCATTTCACAGAAGAACACACTTAAGACTTAATTTTTTTCAGTAGGGTGCTAGACACAACACAGGCTGCGTAAGCACACCTGGAAGTCTTTGCTTACTTCGAGTAACTAAAGGTTTGTGGCTCTGTATGAATCTCTCAGTTTCACAGAAAGAAAAGGTACCCTTGAACTATAAGTACAGTTCTAGAGGTTTGGGACAGCATAAATTAGGAACACATAACCCAGAAAGCTGCTCTGCACCTTAGTGTACAGAACCTTAATAAAAAGGTGTGTGAATCACTCATACTTTGCCTCAGTTTTTTTCCCGTACTGCATACAAAAGTGGCTCAAGAGGGCATCAAAAGATGCTCAAGCGCATCTCACTGAGTATGGTATTTAGTAACTCTGAATCCTCTTCACGAGGCATTTTGAATTCAGTCTTCATTGACTATTACCTGCAACTAGTAAACAATTTTGTTGCACAAGCACATTACAGAATTTAAGCACCTCACAATTTACAATGGAAAGCAGCTAGTCTGCTGCTGCGTATCCTTCTCAAGGACCAGCCTTCACCTTTGTAAGATTTGTGGTTATAGGACAATGGAATGTTTCTTGACAGTGCTATTACTGCATAAAGAGAACAAGTAGGAAACAGACAAAACTTAACAATTCTGGCAGAAAAAGAAATTCACTAGCAAAAACATTAACTATAAAACATAAATGTTTTTGTGTTCTGTGAAGCGCTACTTATTCTTTACTACCTGTAAAATCTCTTACACGCACCTGGTACTCTTTTTCGCTTATAAAGATGTTGAGTTCTGCTCTTCCGTATCTGTATATGGAACTGCATTCATACAGGGCAAAAAGAAGCCTCCAGAGTGTGTTCCTTTCCTTTTTTTGTGGTAAGATTCCAAAAATTTTCACAGGTACATCTGTTTCAACAGTGTGTAAAAGTATCTTTAAAATTTTGCAATCTCATTAATGCTAATGTCTAAACTACAAACAATTAAGAAAAGTCTGTCAGCTCATGTTGTTCAAGAATGAATACAATTCAAGCTTTAGTCAAAGCTAAGCCCAGTTTGCATTAGACTAAACCTTTAATAAAGACAAGCAAATAGCTGAGATTTCATATTGCCACACGGGTTTTTTGAAGCTATCAAGAACCTAAATAAAGCTGAAGTGTAGGAAATAATATCCATTAATCCAGCATATACATTAAATAGAACATATACCTCAAGCAAATCCCAAAGATTTTGCCAAACTGCCTATGCACCCTTCCAATGTATTTGTAACATGTGTGATCATATACATATACCTGCCCTCCAAGGAACTGCTGCTACACCCATGGTTTCAAAAAGTTTGTCAGAACACATAGCAGGTGGTTTCACCGTTCCAGTCGCCAAAGGATCCAGTCTGAAGAAGTCACCATAAATTACCTTTAATTGTCCATCCAGGCTATTCTCTAAGGACTGAATAAAATTAGTTTCAGTTGAAGAAATCTGGATGCAGTAACCTATCTTGCAAAACACCCAACCCAAACAAACAAAAAAAACGTTCAAGCACTACCTAAAATTGCTACACAGTCAACAAGAGTCAAGTCTCAGAGCTGCTTCTTACAGCTGATAAAAAGAATAGCTTCCTTCGTTGTGCCGGGCATTTTGACACGTTTGTGCTGCTCAACTGGAGCTTTGAAACACATTCTTAAATTAGTAAGATGTTCTGCAGTGTTTTGCAAAAAAGCTATGCTCAACTAAGCAAACCACTGCATTTAATGATTTACAACTGGAATTCTTCATATATGCACAACGAATGCCTTTTAAACACATTTTAAGACAGGTGAAAGTGAGTCATTCCAAACTCCTACTTTACAGCATTGTAACACAATCCTTCTAGTGCAACTTCTGCAGCTATGTGTCTGACTACCTTTGAATCCACGCGAAGCCAAGGTGAACAGGAGAGGACAACACATGTGTGTGTCTTAATATTACCAGTCAATTGCAGGACAATAGATTAAATAATACCATGAGACAATCAGAATAACCAAGACTATTTTTACAGATTTCTGACAGCTACCAGTCAATTGCAGGACAATAGATTAAATAATACCATGAGACAATCAGAATAACCAAGACTATTTTTACAGATTTCTGACAGCTACCTAGAATCATAGAATCATTATGGTTGGAAAAGCCCTCTAAGGTCATCGAGTCCAACCGTCAACCCAACACCACCATGTCCACTAAACCATGTCCCT